AAGACTTCCAGTGCATATAGAAACTCACATACAGTGCAATAACAAGAGACTTATAGTGAGTACAATTTATCTATGGACAACTCTAGAAAACTTGTCATATATACGAAAGTCTGCCTGCGGATTAAAGTTGTAGACTTATGATGAATATAGCTTGCTTATAAGTAGAGAGCACAAAATTGTGATACACACAGTAACCACACTTATAGGCAACGTTAGAGGATTTGCATCGACTGTAGCTCGTATACAAACAATAATTAGTGACTTCAAATGATCACTACTAGTTCCCAGGAAAAATTAATGAAGCTTGCAATACACAACAGTTTGCTTACAATCAAATGGCACGAGACCCTTAGCAGCATACTACAGTTTACCTGTAAGCAAAAGCAAGGAATTCGTAGTGCCTAGTTGTCATACCAGACAAATCAGCTTACCTGTAAATGACAAAGGGAGATTCATGGAGAATGATGTAATTTACTTGCAAGCAAGAGCATGATCTCCTAATGTCTATTGAACAAAAATCTTCTACGTGCCATGTTAGATGATATGATAACTCAATGAGGCAACACGAGTTAAACAATACATGCGATAACTAAAACCTAACTCGCCTTCACACCATCGAATTCCCAACACTCGTATAAGCTGATAGAAGGCATATGTAGGCCCCTAAAGGAAAACTTGTGCACGCTCCAATGACAATCACTTATGTAATTGATTATATTTAAATGCCCTTCTCATGCATTAAATAATGATTCCCCACATGTGCTCTGACTGTTATACAAAACTCCTAATTTTAAGTTCTGAGAATGCTGTGTTGGTCAAACATTTAAGTTCAATCCTCCTTGAAAAGGTAGAAGTCAACATGACATGAATTAACAAGCGAATGCTTAATCATAGATTGATAGGAAACACTTGTAGATCTCAAGTATTTTTAATCAATATTTGGAAAACAACAAGAATTCTCCACAAAACTCCGCACAAAACCATGAAAACATTAGATAATTTGTATTATTCGATGAAAGGGAAACGAAAAATAACAAGGTATAATTGATCCTCTATTTTGAGAGGATGATCGATCTCTCCCAAATCTCTAGACGCCGCTAGAGCCCAAAAGAAAACCTCAATCTAAGAGATCTCATATTTCAGCCAGATTCAAGATGCCCTAACCCTAGGAAAATAAATTATTTAATGCATACAAATCAAAAGGAAATCCCTAAACAATCCCTACATTCAAATTTCCCTCCTAACTTCCTCAAAAATCCTTCCTAAAATAGCTCACGCACGCCTTGCGTGTGTTCGGTGCGTACAGGAGGCAGAGAAGTTTGCCTCTATACGCGTAAGCTGATCTCGTCGGACCGAGTGGACCGGTCTAACAATACTCCCCTCCCAAAGATCCACCTTTTCCGCAAGATGGAAAGAAAACACCCTCCTATATTCCTTCTTCATCACAAACATTAAGAACCTGAAGAATTCAGTCCTTACCCTTGTGCCCCGGCGTATACCTCTCATCACATCTAAAAAAAACCCTTCGCCCTCTTATTTAATTATGTTTCTGTGAGCTTTTTGAAGTTGTCCCCAGGTCTTTCTCCGACAGTTTTCTCTTTCGAAATCTCCATAAGAGTTCCTAGTGTTGGCTCTTTGCTCGCCAAAAAGGTGGTGGTCATCTTATACGAGCCTCCTGAACTGCTGCCTCCTCCTTTTTTCAAGTTCCTCTGATCCTCCACCAACTGAGCTAGCTCCATAGACTCTCCCAAGTCACGAGGTCTCATCACTTTGACTGCTGCCCGGATCTTTGGTTTCAGTCCCTTCATAAAGTTTCCCTCCAGTACAGTCTCTGGAAGTCGATCCAATCGACTAGCAAGATACTCAAATTGCTCATGGTACTCCATCACTATCCCCTCCTGCATCAAAGCGAAAAACTGCTTGTAGAAGTCCCCTCCCATATTGGTTTGTAAACGTTCCAACATGCAGTCCTTAACTCCCTCCAGGTCCTTATCGGTCACCTCGTATCCCTCCATTGGTATCATGCTAAAGCTTTCCCTTCCAATCATATCCCGGCTACTGTCAACTTCTCCTCCTTCATCAACCTATTGATGTAAAGTACATTTCCACCCTGTAGATCCACCCATGTGCACCCTCTCCCTCAAAGATAGACATTTTTAGTTTCCGCACCCTCAGATCACCTCTGTTCCCTTCATAATTTCCTCTTCCCAAAAAGGGTAGTTCCCCTCAAGTGTTCCAATCATCCTTCTACGTTCATACCAAACCTTTCATCGCAAACCCACCTCCTCCCTTTAAATTCAACACCCCTTCGATCATATTCAACCCCTCTCCTTTTAAATTCGGCACCTCTTCGATCATAATCAAGCCCTCATCTTTCCAATTCAGACCCTCTTCTTTCAAATTCAACATTCCTCCACTCATGCCCAACCCCCTCACGTCTCTCCATATACCCTTTACCAAACTCCTTCCTAGGAATAGGTCCTAGGAGGCATTTTTTCTGTTCCTTCCAAAATCCCCACCTCTTGATCTTCCTTTCGTCTGATTGGCTTTGGATTTTCCCCACTTTCATGGTTGCGGCGCCTTCCCTCACCTTCGACGGCGATATTTTGGTTTGGCCCACTAACACTTTCTTCAACATTTCCTCCAGGATGAAAAATTTTGAATTTAACTTATCATGGATGGCTGAAACATCTTTTTTTAAAATTTGAAACTTGAGTTTGGTGATTTGAAATTTCATATTTCATTTGTCCAATCTCCACTTCGAGGCGTTCCTCCAGCACATCCATTTTCTTGGCCGCCGTTGATGCCCAGATTTTTTGTAGAAATAAAAATTTGGACTTCAATCTTCAAAATCAACAACTTTCTTATTTGAAATCCCAAAAACAGCCACTAAAATTCAACAAAACAGCCCACCAAATGTCCAAAAACAGCTCTGTTACCAAATTGAGAGGAAACACTTGTAGATCTCAAGTATTTTCTATCAATCTTCGAAAAAAACAACAAGAATTCTCCACAAAAATCCACACAAAACCACGAAAACAGTAGATAATTTGTATTATGTGATGAAAGGGAAACAAAAAATAGCAAGATACAATTGAGCATCTATTTGAGAGGAGGATCGATCTCTCCCAAATCTTTAGACGCCGCTAGAGCCCAAAAGAAAACCTCAATCTAAGAGATCTCAAATTTCAGCTAAATTCAAGATGTCCTAACCCTAGAAAAATAAACTATTTAATGCATACAAATCAAAAGAAAATCCCTAAACAGTCCCTACAGTCAAATTTTCCTCATAACTCCCTAAAAAATCCTTCCTAAAATAGCTTACGCTTGTCGTGCATGCGTTCGGTGCGTACAGGAGGCGGAGAAGTTCGCCTCTGTTCTTGTAAGTCGGTCCCGTCAGACTTGCTGGACCGGTCTAACATAGATCTATCGAGATACCTGATTATAAAGTTCATATTAGGCCTTCAAAGGCTCTTTAGATGAAATGCATATAAAACGTAAAGCTCTCGATTCTTAGCATTTGTACGATAACTTACAAAATTAATAATCGAACCTGATCTTGTGTTGGCGAGCGAACAAAGTTGACAAGGTTCAAATAACTAAAACTTTAATCCCCAATAATGGTCGTGTTGAATGTTTATCTCAACTGGTGGGGACTCTACCCTTTCAAATGCCTTAATTATTATAATAAGTACAAAATTTGTAATAACTTTAATTTCAACCCGGTGATGATTGTGTTGAAAGTTAATCTCAACTGGAGGGGATCCTACCTTTAAAAATACTTATGAACTCTAATGGAAATACAATTCTTTTAAAGTGATTGCAAAATCACCTCAATCATGGCCGTGTTGAATGCAAATCTCAACTGGATGTGTCCACACAAATTTCAAAGAAATGCCCCCAAATCTCAAAGTTAATTGTTTGGGGGTCAAGTATAAATAAAATTTTCAAAATCTATTACTTTTCAAAAATAAATAAATGCCTAATTGAAATAAAAATACCTAAATACTTAACATTCAATCCCACCTCCACAACAATTTATCGAGGTGAATAAATTTGAAAATCAATTCAGCTCACAAAGAGAATGCCCATTCGAGATTATCACTAAGATTCATTCTCAAACCATCTCTTGTCAGTAAGAACGTGAAATGTGTCCTTTAACAGGTGGTTTCGCCACCGAATGACACTACAGGTAAAAGGTTATAACCGAGGCACTCTCACCGGGTGATTTTGCCTCCAAATGGTACTACTAAATTATGGTCAAGGTCATAGCCCGTATGTTCCCCAATGTCTCTAAATTCTTGAGTAATGAATCAATAGGGTATAATTGATAGGACATAAAGCCCTTTGTTAGCTAAGGTAGACTCAAATATATCCCCTTAGTCAAATATTCACCCCAAGTCTACAAGGTACCCTTGTACGAAGCAACACATGGCTGCTGATAAGAATCCTTCAGTCAGGTTGGGTTGACTACATCTTCTGACTAAGTAGAATAGGGACCATGATGGCCCGAGACGACGGAACCATAGGATCTTGATCGGGTTCATCATCATTCCTCCCATCATCCACTTTAAGTGCACGGTGATAAAATTTCAATTTTCATTATCAAATTTTGCTGCTACTATTCGGTGGATACTATATATCTATTTAACGATTAACCTTAATCAAAAGTTCTCTCGTTACCAAGATGATTATGGCGTGCATTCTTTGCTGAACATTTTTCTGTCTAAATTCAGGTGCTTGAAACATGAAAGATTTAAGTATCAATTATTTTAACTAGGCTTTGGATAGCTATGATCCACCTAGTCTTGGTATGCACTTGTGTACTTTTGCAAACTGATGCTGTGTTTGCTTTCCTTGCTCAGTGAATCTTGTCCATATGTTCAATAGGCCGCCATTAAATTTTTTCACCTTACGGTTGCAATTTATTATTTGTTTGTGAATTTTTTGTTTTGCATTTGGTTGAATGAATTGAACATATTATTTAATCAACTAGACAGGGTTCAGACATTGAGAAGGATGCTGTAGTATTGAAGTCAGGTGAGTTATTAGGCAGTGCTGAAATAGGTTTGCTTGCTACTGTTGGAGTTACCATGGTGAAGGTATATTTTATTATCATAAGTTACTGTTAGAAATATTGAGGTGACAGAACAAACTAGCAATGTTATTGTTAATTTAATCTGTAGGTGTACCCTAGACCAATGGTGGCTGTACTTTCTACAGGAGATGAATTGGTGGAGCCATCAACTAAAAGTCTAGGCAGAGGCCAGGTGTAGTGTAACCCAGCCTCTAGATTGTTGTATTTTACCCTTCTAGCAAAGCATGTCTTCTAATTTATAGAAATATTCATTTTTGCACAATCTTAATATGTATGTCTATGTATATAATTCTTATGCAGATTAGAGATTCTAATCGAGCTATGCTACTTACAGCTGCTCTTCAGCAGCAGAGTAAAGTTGTAGATCTTGGAATTGCTCGTGATGATGAAGAAAGCATTAATAAGATATTTGATACAGCTATTGAATCTGGGGTTGATATATTGTTGACTTCTGGTGGTGTTTCCATGGGAGATAAAGATCTGGTGAAGCCTATGTTGGGAAGAAAGGGAACCATTCTTTTTGAAAAGGTAGCCTAGTATGTCCTTGTATCAAAGTTTCTTTTATTTCATGCTGCTGTAACGTATGTTACTTGTGAAATATTTTTTTACTGCTGGTGGAGTCAATGGAGGAGGATTTTTTTTTCTTAGGTTGTAAAAATTGGACCATAACTTAATGTTGACTGTTGTAGTACTTTTAGCGTCCACTAACTGCAATTTTTATTTATATGTTTGCATGCTATTTTCTTTCCTTAAATGTAATCCTAGAGATGTTTGTGATTTATGGATGAACCGGTTTTTGTTTCCACTAAAAACAAATAGATATGGAACAACAGTTTTGATGAGTTGCTTCTTGGACTAATTCAATGATTTCATTCATTTTGCATTATTATTTTTGCTTCTGTGTTAAAAGTTGACCAGCATGTCATGCTTATTTCTTACCCTGAAACAATTTCATTTAATGTTCCTCTGAATATTCCTGATGCCTTTTGTACTAAGAAGTGATAAAATCATGCTTTAGCATAAAGTTTATTTCTGAAGGAGCAATTGTTTATACGAACTTTAGAGCATGTTAGACATTCATAAATCATAATTCTGAACTTATATTATGGAAGAAAACTCGTGGATCAATTTTCTTGTTTATATTAATGTTCATCTGAATATCCCTAAAGTGAACTGAAGCAATTATCATATTAAAATTATCAGAGGTTCTTCTTAAGGAACCTCTGAGGATTACTTTGTGTTGAGATAATTCCCTTGATATGCATCAAAATTTAGTTTTAACATTAAACATGGGTACATTATAATAAAAGATATGTGTCGATTATTTGCCAGTTTGTGCTGTGGTTTATATTTTAGTAGGGAAAGAACATTATTGAATATTAATCAGCAAATTGCTGAGCTTATCTTTTTAAAAGTAAAACAAGTAATCTTCCTTTAATATTATTTCTATTTATCGAATGCAGGTTTTCATGAAACCTGGAAAGCCTTTGACATTTGCTAAGATTAGCGCCAAATCTGAAGATAAAGGAAGTGCTAAGACAGTACTTGCATTTGGTTTGCCTGGAAATCCTGTGAGCTGTTTGGTTTGCTTCCAACTTTTTGTTGTTCCTGCTATACGTTGTCTGTCTGGATGGCCAAACCCTCAGCTTACAAGGTTTTAGTCTTTTCTATTGTCTTTCTTTTCCAATTTCAGGTAAATTTTAGCACAAATTTGTTCCTCGTGTTAATGGAGGTATGATATGTTGAACATTACTAGTTTCGAATGAAGATGCCTGAACATAAGTTAATAAAATAATTCCTCTAAGGTGATATACATTATAAACTCATTGTAATTGTTGAATCCACCTTTTCATCTTTTGTGAAAAATGAGTTTCAGAGATAACATGTTTCAACTTTTGTGGATACTCAATGAAATGCTTTTTATTTTTCTTCATCTTTTTCATCCTTTCGTCTCTCTATAATAGTATGGCAATTGTATATGCTACCAAGATTTAAAAAGGCGAAATCAAGAATAGAGGCATTTAGCCTTAGCGAGGTGAGGCATAAGTCTTGAGGTGGATGAGGCCTAAGCCTCAAAATAGAAAAAAACATATGAACTTACAAATAATTCATAAAAATGACAAATAAAATAAATTATCAACTGTGTGCTCCAAAAATTCGGCACAGGCTCCGCCCGCTGTTGTTTTTTCTTCTTTTCAGGGGAGTTTTAAAGAAATTAAGTTCCAGTGTAAATTTTGGGAAGGCATATGGGTTTGTAGATAAGACACTACCCAGAGATTTCGCCCTCATTTTGCGAGGACTTTATGATCTGAGTTTTGGTTTCTAATAGGCACAAGCTCCTATAGTTAATCACCCCTCTCGGTAACGAGAGAGAACTTTCGATTAAGGCTAGTCGTCAATTAGATACATTATATCCGTAGATATGTAGAAATATGCGTTATCTGGCTTATAGTAGCAGCATGGGCTTGAGAATTGGAATTTTGAAGGGTTGGAAGATTTGATATTTAAAATAGAAATTTCACTATCTTGCACTTAAAGCAGATGGTGGGGGAATGGATGATGGACCCGATCAAGATCCCATGATTCCGTTGTCCCGGGCCATCGTGGTTCCTGGTCTACTTAGTCAGAGGATGTGTCGACCCAACCTGACAGAAGGATCCTTGTCGGCAGTCATGGGTTGCTTCATCCAAGGGGACCTTGTAGACCTGGGGTGAGTGTTTGTCTAAGGGGACAAATTTGAATCCACCTTAGCTAATAGAGGGCATTGGCTTTGTGTCATATCTATCATATCATATTGATTCATATCTTAAAGATTTGATGGCACTAAGGAACGTATTGACTCTGGTCATAATCGATATTTCGTGGTGCCATTTGGCGGCAAAACCACTCGGTTCAGAGGGTCCCGGGTCATAACTGTTTATCCTGCAGTGCCATTTGGCGGCAAAACCGCCGATTAGAGCACACGTAACACATTTTTACTAGCAGAAGATTATTTGAGAATGGGTCCTAGTGATATTTTCAACTAGGCATTTGGCTCTATGTGAGCTGAAGTTATATTCGAATTTGTTCACCTCGGCAAACTGTTGCAGAGGGTGGATGAATTTTGCTTTAAGTTATTTGATGGATATATTTCAATTTTAAATATCTGAAATTTTAGGATTTTTGAATTTTTGTGGGTATTTGGGTGGAGCTTGGAAGGCATTTGAAAGTGTTTATGAACCCCTCCGGTTGAGATAAACATTCAACACGGCCATCATCAGGGTGACTTTGACGTCACTTGAAAATATTTAAATTTTGTAGGAGTTTAAGGTTGAAAATATTTAGAATTAACCCCTCCGATTGAGATATACATTCAACACGACCATCATCGGGGTGTTTGGGCTAATTTTCATTTGATTAAACCTTGTCGACCCTATCAACTTGCCGATAGGGGATCAAGTTTCGTAAGCTTTATGCCTTTATTAGTAAATTCATATTGTTATAGGCCTTGAAGGCATAATATGAATGTATTAAAACAAATACACCGGTCGTCACAACCGTATATTTGTTTGATGATTTGAACCCTATCAACTCCTATTGACCTGTTTAGGAGGATCCAATTTCAGAAGCTTTATGCCTTTATAAGTGAATTCTCTTGATTATAATCTTTGAAGACCTAATATGAATGTCATTAAAATAAATATACCGGTCACCACAATCGTATATTTATTTGATGGTTCGAACCCTGTCGACTCCTATTGATCTGCATAGAAGGATCAGGTTCAAACTTGAACTCACTTATTAACCCGTGCAGCATCCTTGGACGTAATATGTGTACTAATAACACGCTCGTCGGGGCTGTTTTGATTGAAAAATAAATATATTTAAGTATATACAGTTTTGAAAATATATTAATTTTCTTTGGGAGAAATTCATTTTGAAAATGGAGGGGCTTGAACAGCTGGGGCTCCAACATCAGCACGACTAGAGTCCTCACATCCCTGAACTGGGAGTCTAGGGAGTTCGAACGGTATCTGAATCTGAGGTTTTCTGAATTGTATTCCAATACATCTACTAAACTTTCTTCGTGCACATGATTCTTCTAGAGACATGGGCCTCTTGCCCTTAACATCAACTGGTTTCGGCTTTTCAAAGACTTCTTCAGGCTTTGCTATCACTGGGGCCAGCTTTGACAGTTTTGAAGGTGGGGTCGGTGGTTTACCACTAAAAGGGCAACTCTGGCCAGACTCAGTTAATACTATCTCAAAAAGAATGCAATATTAGGAACAACATATATCGTCTCAAAAAGACGAGACTGTCGTTCATTAATAGGTTCAGATTACAAAACTTTAAAGGATCATTAATTTTTTAATCAAAATCAGGATAATAAAATGATATATCTTTCCAAGGAAAGAGGATATCATTTATTATCAATCCTTTGAATATAACGATAATGGTCGTTTAATTGAGATTTCCCAAAGATAATTAATTAGAGGTTTTTGAAAATTTTAATTTTGAAAATTAGATCTGGGTTTCTAAATCTCCTACGAGCGCAAGCCCTCGTAGTTAATTA